GCACAGAATATCTGGAAATCCAAATCTATGGCGACCTCAGGAGATGGGACTGAGATTATGGGTGCTCAAGGGATTTATTTTATTTGTATTGTTGAAATACTTTATGATAATACATTTGTCTTAATAATGTGATTCATATATTTTAAAAAAAACACTACAGACATAAATAAGAGCACTGAATGTTGAACAGGTGGATTTGTAAGGAGGCAGGGAAGAGACTAAAAACACTTCTTGCTCTGCTACTGTGAAAACAGCATGGAGGATGGCCATGGCTTACTTCCTCTGGCTTCGCTGTTGCCACAAGGCAGGGCTCTGACATGCCTCCACGTTCCATTCTTCTATATGTATTCTGACACTAACTATTCCTTCTACATCACTCTACATCTATGCTGGATTTGATAATTCATTGCAATGATTATACAGAACTCAGAAACAAAACTCACGTTTAAGGGGAGTTATTAGAGGAGTTGACATGTCAGGGTCAGTAAACAGTAAGGATACAGGGACTGGTACACAGCAACACCTCTCTTCAGCCAATAGCCAAGTCCTTCTCTGGTCCTCAGCCTCTCAGCCATATGGCCCATTGTCATCTGCCTGTGTGGACCAGGAAGCCCACCTGCCACTCTGCCTCATAGCCCCAATCTTGCTGCTATCCTGCCTCTGTCCTGTTTCATGGTTTCCTTGACTTGGCCTCTGGCCTTGGCTTGGCTTCTTAATCTGTCCCATAGTCTTATCATCAGTCTCTGGTGTTCTTCCAGTGGTCTTCCAAATTGTGTCCAGGATGGCTCTTATGCACAGAAGAATGGCTTTGATGGAGGTGTGAATTTTGTTTTAGCAGGTCATTCCCTCAATGAAACAAAGAAGTTGACTTAGTTCACACCCTCTATGAAGTTCAGGACTTCTCAAATTCATTGCCATTGAGTCAATTCTGACTCATAGGACTCATAATGGCCCAATAGGACAGAATACAACTAGGGCAGGATTTAATCCCACATTAATCTTGTCCATTAGGGGATAATGGACAAGAAAATTCCCTGCAAAATAGGATTATAGCCACAGGCATAGAGCCCAGAATTATAACATAGCACATAAGGAATTACGGCAAGAAGGCCCATAATTAATTGACAACATCTCAGCTATATACAAGAGTTTTGTCTCCTTGCAAAGCTTTTCCCAGAATATCTTTTAACATATCCTCTCCAAATTCATCATTAATATATAATTTATTCTTCTCCAATAATCATACGTAGTGGTTTTAAATGAAAGTGCTTACATGTTCACGATTAAGTATGCAAAATGGTTTCTAAATAAGAAATGGAACCTAGTATTTAAGATGAGCTCTTCTGTTAAAATCTTTCCCCTCTGTTGGGTGAAGAGGAATAAAAATATCTGTGAAACTAGGGCGCACAGCAGCAACTGAAGGTCAAATGGCCCTTAGGAAAAATGGAGGCTCATTTTAGGGTACAGTGAACTGATACAGGAGTTTGTCTCACAAATTCCAAAATGTCTTCAGGTATTGGTTATTAACGTGAACAAATATTTATTGAGCATTTACTGTGTATAAGGAGTCCCTGAGTGGTGCAGTTAACATAACGCTGCTACGAATAAAAGGTTGTTGGTTCAAGTTCATCCAGAGGTGTCTTGAAAGAAAGGCCAAGTGAGGTACTGAAAACTCAGCCATTAAAAACCTTACAGTTCGCAGTTCTACTCCATCTGTCAAAGTCAATCAACAGTAACTGGTTTGTATGGGATGACTGTGTTAGAGGCTATGCCGTTCCTCCAAGACGCATTCTAAACACCTCAGGGAAATCCCAGTCTAATCAATGGTGTAAATAAATGTGAACTATCAAGTGACTTAAACAATAGGGGGAAAAAACCCTTAAACACCCCCCTCCCATCCCACCAATGTATGGTCCAAGGACATCACCCGGGAACATTTCAGGTCCCACCCCTAAGATCCAGAATCAGAACTTGAATTATAACAGGAGATCCCAAGTGACTGGGATGTTTAGCTAAGTGTTGAACTGCAGAAGAAGCTAGTATTGATTCTTTGGGACGTGGTCAGAGAAGACTTCACAGACTGGAGGATGATTAAGAATTTCCAAGCTGAGAAAAGATCAAGCCCATGATCATGGCAGTTATAAAGAGCAAGGATTCTGGCATGAGAAGGCTAGTTTGAGTGTAGTAGTGGAAAATTCAGAAAACTACAAAAATAAAAAACCAAACTCACTGCTACTGAGTCTATGTCGACTCTGTAGGACAGGGTAGAATTGCCTTTGTGAGTTTCTAAGACTTTAATTCTTTACTCCATCTTTCTCCCTTGGAGCAAATGCTGCATTTGAACTTCAGACCTTAAAGATCACCACCCAACTTGTAACTTCACATGTGGGGTAAAAGGTACATTGAGGGCCTCCTAGCAGAAGACCCAGGCTGATGTGATGGGAATTTGGGAGGAAATTATTGGCAAATCTAAGCAGGAAGGTGATATGATCATATTCTTACATTTGAACATAACTCTGGTGGCAAAATGGAGGATAGATGTAGCAGAGCAACTAGAGCAGGTAGACAAAATATCCTTAAATGAACATGATTCAATTTTGGACTAGAAAGCATGTCTCTAAAGGCTTTGAGGTGGAGGAGGCATTGCGTGCACCACATGATAAAGAAGTCTATGATAATTACATAATCTGTTAATTTGAGTATTACGAGTGAAGGGGTGAAGTTTAGCCTGTCAATCAGGTCTCAGCTTGATTACCTCATGTGGAGATGCTAAGGAGATAAATAGCTTGCAGGATGCAGGATGGAGGCTCACTCCCTGGGAAACACTGCAGCTGACAAGACACATAGAACTCCACTAGTGCCCTGAGCTGGAGAAGCCAGGTGGAGACCCCTGCCAGCACTGAGATGCTTATGCCACTGGATCCACAAGACTTCCCACCCACTGTTCTGTGATCTTCTGGCATTCGGTGTCATTGTATGTGTTTTGTGAGTCTGAAGAGGGCTTTATATCGGACATATGGGACTTACGGACTTGATCTAGACTGGAATGTTTTCTCAATATTTAATTGCTCTTGTATATAAACCTCTTTCTTCTACACATATGAGTCTCCCTGGATTTGTTTCTCTAGTGCACCAAGACTAACAAAGGTTTCCAGTTGGATAAAGGCAGATTCCCTCAGTCTAGGAATTCTTAAAAAGCATGGTCTCTATCAGCAGCATTAGTAACACCTGAGAATTTCAGTATTGCAAATTCTCATATGTGATCCCAGATACAGTCTGAAACTGGGAAAAGGCACAAAAGTCAGTTTTCCAAGTGATTCTGATGCATGCTGAAGGACCTGTTAGAGCTACTGCTCTAGACAGTCCCAAGCCTGGAGGGGAAATGGAGTAAAAGGCTAAATAACTTGCTTCCAAAGCAAACAACTAAGCCTACTGCTATCTATCGATTTCAATTCTGTGAACCTCTACATAGGGTTTCCATGGATGTAAATATTTATGGGAGCTGATAGTTTCTTCTTTCTCCAGAGGATATGCTGGTAGGCTTGAACCTGTAATTTCAGGGAAGCAGTTCAACACGTACTGGCCAGCACCTCTAGGTCTTACTTCTAGACAAACTGCCATCGAGTCAATACTGACGCATAGTGCCCTATAGGACATAGCAGAACTGTCCTTGTGAATTTCCGAGACTGTAATTGTTTATGAGAGCAAGCCAGTTTTTCTCCCTCGGAGCTTCTGATTTTGAGCTGCTGACCTTGAGGACCAAAGCCCAAGTCGTAAAAACTATGCTACTAGGGCTCCAGGGCTAACTGAGTATCTTAAAAACAACAACAAAAACCGTGGGCAATAATAATGAGAAATGGGTTTCTACACTTAGTGGGCAGGGGGGAAAAAGACACATACAACTGACACAATAGTGTTACAGAAAACAAAACAAAAATTATACTGTCTTGTCACAAAGCCTCACATTTGGGGAATTAAAATCGCTTTGGTAAAATCCAGGATGCTCTCGGGAGCCTAAATTAAATTTAAAGCAAAGAAATCATTCCAGTTGTTGAATCTCCGTTCTCTCATTTCCCCCGGAAACGCCCTCAGGAAAACGCTGCAAGTGCTCTGGTTCTTAAAAAACGATGTTTTTGATGCACCATCCCAAAGATCACAATCCCAAATTAAAAAACCCATACGGTGCAGCACTAGCGCCACCATTCCAAGACAATGTTCTCAGCCACACCCAAGCGGGCTGCGAAGCCTCCCTCCCTGGGCTGTGGCTAAAGATAAATAAACCACTCCTTGTTTCCTAGACCTGAAATTAGTGGTGACTCACAGAGCACTCGGACCGGCGGTGGTCCCCTCGGGGAGGAGGAAAAACGTGCAGCTTTTCCCCCTTACTCGAAGGCTCAATGTGCCGGTCTGGGCCAATCAGGGAAGGGTGGCAGGAACCGCACCAAAGTAGGTAAAAAAATGTGGGACTCGCCCGCTCCGCCACCGCGAGTCCCATCGCGCCCAAGGATCCTCCCTCGAGTCTTTGACCTCTGCCTCGCCCTGTCTGCTTTCCCACCTCCTCTTAAGCCCCACCCTCGCGGCGGCTCATACCTGGCCAGGTACTTACTTCCTTATAAGGGCAAAGGTTGCGTCATGGGCGGGGCGTCATGTGACCTTTTTAGCCGAAAGGGAGAGATCCACCCCCACCCCCGCCCCTCTGCCATTTTTCTGCCCCTCACCGGCAGGTGCCAGATTAAGATCCCTCTCCTCGCCCCCAACATTCGAGGATTCACGCCCCTTGAGGCCCGACGTAGTTGGGCGACCCGGCACCCCACTTTCCTCCTCGCTCCCCTCCAAGCCCAGCCGCATCGCGCTCGAGAGTCCGGAAGGCAGCCCGGGCGGGGCGTTGCCAGGCCCGAAGGTTGCGCGGCAACGGCGGACGGTGCGTGACGTGCGTAGGCCCGCTCCGCCTCTAGACGCGCGCGCGCCCGCCCGCCCACTGGGAGGCTAGTGCTGTTGCGTCGCCACCTTGCTTGGCTTTGCTGCTGTGCGAGAAGGACGCTCCCCGGGTTCTGTGCGGGCCAACTCCCTCTCTCTCGCCTGTAAGCGCCGCGGCGAACATGGTAAGTGAGAAGGAAGGGGCCTGGAGGCGTGTGCGGGGCGGTGGCTTTGTGGACTCCGCGGACCGGGGGTGCGGGCGCCTGGTAGGGGTGCCTCAGGACTGGAGCCGCCCGCGGTCTCGGCTAGGCCCTCCGAGCGTGCCGTGCCTCAGCCACCTGCCGCCCAGCCTTCTCTTCGGGGACTACCGCCAGACCTCGGTGCGACCCGCAGGACCTCCTTCGTTAAATTGATCGGGAGGGGTCTGCACACCATGGGGGCGGGGGAGGCTGCACGGGGAGGGTGGGCTCGGAATCTGGCGAGGGTCCCTCTGAGTGCAAGTCTCCCCAAAGCCAGGCTCCGAGGTTGTGGGTGATTAGGGCTGGTTTCATGAAGCCGCATGGACTGGTTCGACCCGCTGTCCACGACAATAAGGAAAATGGGTCTTTAGTGAATAATCTCGATTGAGCAGGACCGGCGCGATGAAGAACGGGTGGCCTCGCTAGCAGCCGCTTTGTTCATCGTATCCGGGAGTCAACTTCCAGCAGCGCTCCCGTGCTGGTTAAGCTGGGCCGTGCCTCTTTTAACCCTCCCCTTTCTGCTCGTCCGGTTAAACATTTTCTTGCAGTTTGGCTAAACCAGAACTTAGTATGCCGGGGGTGGGCTTGATGCTGGTAAAAGCAAGTGGAAAAACATTTTTCAAGAAGTCCATTAAATGATCCGAGTCACTAAAAAGTCAGCAGATGCTCATCATAGTCTAGGTGATGGAAACGTTTGTTTCTCCCTCTAAACTGTAACTCTAATTTATTGTAAAACAATTTTAGGTCAGGTGGAGCATTTTGTCGTTTGCTTTCGTCTGCACACTGAATTACCATTTTTGGTCAATGATTTACAGGCAGCCTTTGCTAGAAGCAATTACACTCACTGCATCTGACTCAAGCAGATCGGTTCCATGTTATTTGCATGCAAAATGCTTTCACTGAGTAATAATTTCGCTTTTCTTAAGATATTGTAACTTTTCATGTATGTATAGACTGGAAGTACTTTCTTTTTTTAGTAATTTCTTGGTAATTGGAAATATGTAGAAGGAAATTGATAGTTATTATTTCAGTGTTGATTTTTTTTTTTTTTTTTGCTTTAATTCTGTAAGCTGTAACAAGGGTCGACTTTCAAAGCGCTTTGAAATGGGCTGGAAGATGCTTTAGGATCTTCTGATTTGACCTTTCGTTTTTTTTTTTAGTTACTGATTCAAACTATTTTCTGTTTAAAAACGTGACCAAGCATTTTAACTTTAATTCGTACAGTTTAACTTTTATTCAAGTAAAATGAAAGATCTGTTAGGCTCATATAGTGCTTTCTTGAGGGGAAGACAAGAAATGAAAACTGATTGAGGTGGATTCATCCCAGATACATTTCAAATTTGTTGGCCTTCCAACTCAAACCAAATTCAACTGCCATCAAATTAATTGATTCATTGCGACCCTGTAGGACAGAGTGGTTTGCTACTGTGGAATTCTAAGACTGTAAATCTTTGTAGAAAGCCTCATATTTCTCTCTCTGAGTGGATGGTGGTTTAATCTGCTGACTTTGTGGGTAGCAGACCTTAAAAGGTAAAAACATCTTAATAGAAGACTTGTCTTGTTTCAATGCTTCTTGTTCAGATTTCAGAATATAGACTGGTCATTTTTATTTTATTTATTTGTTTGACATGTACTTGTATGTCACTGAAGACACCCAAGTCCACTTCAGTTTTCCTTTTCCGTTTTTAGCCACTCAGACCAAAAATTTAGATTTGAGGGGTAAGAAATCTGGAAATTCTTTTTTTAATGAAGAAATTATAATTTAATTAATATATTTCCTGTTAAGCCTTCCCTGTTTCTTTTTCTTTTTGTCTCCTCTCCCTTTTCCCACTCCCATCTCTGACTGCCTCCTTGTCATCAAAGATTTGTCTTTTGGTGTATTAACCATATTTCTTTTCTTTTTATAACAATGGTGATATTAAGTATTTATCTTTGTAAGATTGAATGAGTTCACTAAGCATAATGTTCTCTAGTTTTGTCCATGCCTTGCGGTGTTTAACATAGTTGTCATTGTTATTGATGTGTAAAATTCCATCATAGGATTGTACCAGAGCTAGTTTATCCATTCCTCTATAGTTGGTGTTTTTGGTTGCTTCCATGTTTTTGCTATTGTGGAAATTGCTGTAATAAACATAGATGTAATATGTATGTGTGTTCATGTTATATTATTCTTTTAGGATATATATAGAATATATATATATCCCCTAAAATGGGCTGGAAGATGCTTTAGGATCTTCTGATTTGACCTATGTATGTGTGTATGTATACATATATATGGATATATATGTGCATACACACACACACACACACCCTAAAATGGGCTGGAAGATGCTTTAGGATCTTCTGATTTGACACACACACACACACACACACACACACACACACACCCAAAAGAGAGATTGCTGCTGGTTCATAAGGTACTTGGATTTGCAACTTTTAAAGGACGTGTCATACTGATTTCCATGATGCTTGTACAATTCTACAGTCCCATCAACAGTGTAAAAAGCATTCCTGTCCCCATGCTCACTAGGATTTATTTTCTGTTTTAATAAATTTTGCCAAAATGTTGGTGTGAGGTGTTATCTCATTGTTGTTTTAATTTGTATTTCTTTTATTGCATTTATTTAATTATTGTCAATATTTATCCTTATTGTTCTTGGCTGTCTGTATGTCATCTTAGGTCTTATGCTCATTTTTTGATTGGATTGTGGTTTTCTTGTTAAAATGTAGTTTTCTATAGATTTTGGAGATTAGTCCTTTATCTGATATATTATTACTGAATATTTTTTCCTGTTTCTGAATTTCTTTTTTTCCAAATCTGTGAGTTCTCTGTTGAATCTTTTGATCCAATCTTGTTGTGCATAAATGCCTTATTTTTAGTAGGTCCCAGTTCCTTATTTTGTCTTTTCTAGTGTGGATATTTTTTTCTTTATATTTGGTAGTGTGTTTATGCCTCGTAGTAGTTTTTTCTTATTTTTCATTGATGGCTTTAATAATTGTGTGATTTATATTTAGGCCTTTGATGCATCTTGAGTTTATTTTTGTACATATGTGAGATATGAATCTTTGCAGGTGAAAAATCTAGTTTTTCCAGCCCTATTTGTTGAAAAAACTGTCTCCTGCCCGTTTAAGGTGTTTTAGTTCTTTATGAAAATAAGATATCTATAGGTACTTGCTTGTGTTTCTGGGTTTTCGATTCTAATCCATTGGTCTTCATATTGATTGTAGGCGTACCAGGTTGTTTGGATTACTACCATGGTTATATAGTAGGTTTTAAGGTCTGGGAATGAAAGGCCTCCTACTTTGTTTTTATTTTTTTAATATGGTTTATTTATCCTAGGTTTCTTTCCCATGTAAAGTTGGTAATTAACTAGCTTTTCCATTTTTTTAGAAAAATTGTAGTGGTATTTGGATCAGAATTGCATTCAACTTGTAAACTAATTTTGGTAATGTTGGTACCGTATATACTGGAGTATAAGCTGACCCGAATTTCAGCCGAGGCACTTAATTATACAAAAAAAACTGCATAGAAAGGGTGCTGAGGCAGTTGGGCCCATCCCTGCACACTCACCCTTGGATCCCAGCGCCACCGTCTTGTCTTCCCAGCCCTGCGTGAACGCCCTGCAGCTGCCTGATGGAGCAGCTCAAGGTTTCTCAGGCAGCTGCAGAGCTTCAACAGTACGGCATGCAGAATGCCTGCAAGGGTGCCTTATCGGTTAGGGTTCCAGCAGGAAGCAACCCCTTCCGGCAGCCCAGATCCTGCGCGTTACTCTGAAGAAAGACTAGGAAGAAGTTCACTGAGGAATGTGTTCAAGTACGAATTGATGAATGACAGTTTTCTCTAGCCAAAAAACTTTTAGCTATTTGAGACTTTTCCTGTGGCCTGGTACTATAACTAAAATTCTATAGAAATTGATGTACAGTATTTCTGTTCAGTTAAGAAAGAGTAGATCTTTACAGAATAATGGCCGGGTGTTATTGGTATAAGTTTTCATGAGGATTTTTTGTTTTGTGTTCCTGTTGGTTACTTGGTTGTCTTTTTGTTACTCCCTTTGCTTCTTTTGTTTTTATCATACTGTTATGTGGTTTTCATCTTGTTTGTTTTGCTGGTTTTAATTTTTCTATGTAGGTCTTTTTTTTTGTGGTTTCCTTTTCCATTTCAAAGCAGTTGTATTTTATGAATGGTTCAATATCTTCTCCGTTCAAATACTTATTATCTGTTCCCTCTGCTCTTATTTATTTTTAACTTTATAGAGGAAGTTTGTCTTTGATTCCTTGTTTCAATTTATTTAGTTGTTTCACTTTGAGTATTGCTTCAGTAAAATTTTTTCTCCAAAAATTTATTTTCTAATATTTTTAGGTTACTGTCTGTTGTTAACAATTTTTTGGGCCATCCAATTCCTTTAAATATATTTTGTAAAGGTGGTCATGCTTTAAAAAATTCTTTGTTTTTCCTTGTCTTAAATGTTTTATTTCTCCCTCATATTTAAAGGATAATTTTGCTGGATATCGGATTTTTAATTTCCAAGATTAGATTTAACTACAGGTGCATTTGTTAAAAATTAGCAAAAATCATTTCCTGGTACTGACCAGATCTTCGAGAAGTCTTGGGAATAAGTAACTTGAAACCAACTCAAGAGCTCACTTTCTGAGCACGTTAAGATGAGATTGCTTGTTTTCAAATGTCTCACTTCACAATGCCAAGAAAGAAACCTGTGATGAAGTGAAATTATACCTCTTCCAGCTATCGTCCCTTCTCTTCAGTATTGTAAATTCCAGCCTCTGTGCCTGTGGTCATGATCCCATTTTGGAGGGTCTCTTCTGTTACGCCAAATGGGCAGGATTAAACTGGGATGTGTTCTGAGTCTATTGAGGTGTGACTCAAGCCAACAGCATTGCCTGCTGAATGACAAACCACACCTCCATGAAAGTCACTTTTTGGGGGT